CCGCACAATGCATCAAATTTCTTCTCACATTGATATAGCTCAGAACCCAACAATCCTAGTGGGTGTAAGTAGGCTGCCATGTATATTAGATATATTTGTACTTGTACTACTGAAGTTGTTTTTTTCTTTTACTACTTTGTCATTATTTAAAAGGTTATTTTCTATCCTATGAATATAAAACATTGTAGAAAAACCTCGATGGTTTTTGTGGACTGTCTCTGTGAGCAGAAGGACCTCAGTGATTCCTACAATAATCCAAATGGGCATTGTGCACATTCCTATGTGGTAAAAGATGCAACTTGGTGACGATCATTGATTTCATTTATATTATGTAGTATTACTCAGCTATTAAAAATAAATTTGAGAAATTCTTAGGTAAATGGATGGAACTGGAAAATATCATCCTGAGTGAGGTAACCCAGTCGCACAAGAACACACATGTTATTCACTCACTGATAATTGGATATTAGCCCAGAAGTGTGAAACACCCAAGAATCAACTCACAGCCCACATGTAGCTCTTGAAGAAGGAAGACCAATTATAGGTGCTTAGGTCCTTCTTAGAAGGAGTAACAAAATACTCAAGGAAGCAAATATGGAGAAAAACTGTGGGACAGAAACTGAAGGAGGAGCTGTCTGGAGACCACTCTACCTGGGTATTCATCCAATGTTCAGGAACCAAAAGTAGGTAGACCCTGAAGTGGATGTCAGAAAGTGGATGCTGACAGGAGCCTGATATAGCTGTCTCCTTAGAGGTCTGCTAAAGTCTGACATATTCAGAGGTGGATTCTCACAGCTAATCATTGAACTTGTCAAGGGGTTCCCAATGGAGGAGTTAGAGAGAAGACTGAAGGATCTGAAAGAGTTTGTGGCCCTATGAGGAGAGCAACAATACCAACCAACCAGAGCTCCCAGAGTCTAAACCATCAGCCTGGAAGCACATAGTGAGGGACCCATGACTCCAGCTTTATATGTAGGGGAGAATGGCCTTGTTTGACATAGGTGGGAGAAGAGATCCTTTGTCCCATGAAGGCTGGAAATTGAGTGTGGGCGTATTTAATAATGGGGAGGTGGGAGTTTGGAGTAGTTGGGAACACATCTTAATAGAAGCAGGAGGAGGGGGCATGGGATAGGTTGTTCTTGGGTGGGTTGGGGAGAAATATGGTAAGGGATAACATTTGAAATGTAAATAAAACAGCCATTAGAAAAGGAAAAGAAGAAAGATTGAGAACATCCTGAGTTTTGTAGCAAATGGATGGAACTATAGAATATCATTCTGAGTGAGGTAATTCAGAACCAAAAGGACATGTACGGTAAGTACCCACTAATAAGTAGATATTTGCCAACAAGAAAGAACAGAATACTCAAGATACAATCCACAGACCTCAAAAAAGTAAACCAGTAGAAGGGCTCACGTGAGGATGCCTCACTTTCACTTAGGAAGGAGATGAAAACAATCACAAGTGGGAAAAGGGAGGAACCAGAAAGGGAATGTGGATGGGGGATAGGGGGAGAGAGGAACCTGATGTATTATTGAGTGAGGGAAAAGAACTGAAGACCTGAGGGCCAGCAGGAAGAAGGGAAACAGGTAACTTTGGGAGTTAGGAGGTTGGAGAGACCCTCCAAAATGCCCTAGAGACCTGGGAGATGAGAAACTCTCAAGACTCAGAGGGAGGGACATTAGGAGAAATTCCCAACAGTTGCAAGAGTAAAGTTATAAAGCCCACCTCCAACAGGAAGACAGTGCATCAAGTGAGGGAGGTGTTGCCATCCCACAGTCAAAGTTCTGACACATAATTGTTCCTGTATGAAAGAACTTCAAGTGTGGAAATGGAGAGGAGCTTGTGGAAAAGAAAGTTCAGTTACTTTGGTCCTCCAAAGTGGGGTCAAGCTCAAGGGGAGGTGACAAGGCCTGACACTATTACTGAGGCTATGGATAGCTCACAAAAATGGACCTATCATGACTGCCCTCTGGGAGACCCAGAAACCACCTGAAAAAGTAAGGTGCAGATAATATTTGCACCCAACCAATGGACAGAAGCTGCTGATCTCTGTGGTTTGAATTAGTGAAAGGATGAAAGAAGCTGAGGAGGAGGGTGACCCTAAAGGAGGACCAGCAGTTTTAATTTATCTGAACACTGAGATCGCTCAAACCAAAGAAGCAGCATACACCAGCTTATATGAGGCCTCCAACACATATAGAGCAGAGGACTGCCAGATCTGTGTTCAATCAGAGATGATGCATCTAACGGTCAATAGACTGGAGTCCCAAAGGAGTTTAGAAGTCAGGTGGGGTGGGGTGGGGGTAGGGTCAGCCTCTTGGAGACTGGGGGCTGGGGAGGAGGTATGGGATGTGGAAGTGTCAGAGGATGGACAAGAGAGGAATAAAATTTGGAGTTTAAAATAAACAAATAAATGTAAACAAAAAAGAAAATAGTCAATAAATAAGTTATACTCTTTATCCATTAATAAATCTATTGAAGTTTGGTATCTTAAAAAAAGATAACACTGAGTTTATTTTTGCTTGGCCTCTATGGAATGTGGCCTAAGCTTATGCTTGCTTTATATACCCAGTACTTTAGTTTCTTTTATATATCATTAGAGAAAATGTGTTTTCCTTTACAAGCTGGTGTTCCTTGCAGATAATTTATTGGTTAGGGATTGAAATTCCTCTCCACTTCCACTTTCAGTGTTGCTTTTCTCTTTCACTAGTCAGGATGTCAGAATAGCCAAGAACAAACAAATGATAGCTCATGCTGATGACGATGTGGAGAAAGTGAAACAGCTGGTGAAAATACAAACACAGTTCTATGGAAATCTGTGTGGAGGTTACTCAGAAAGTTAGAATATACTGCAAGATTCAGTGATACTACCTTTAGATTTATACTCAAAGGACTCTACAACTTAACTGTAGCACAACTTGCTCATGAAAGTCATTGCTGCTTTACTCATAATAACTACAAATGAGAAAGGGCCTAGATGCTCATCAATGAATGGATAGATTATGGAAACACACTACATTTACATAACAGAATATGATTCATTTGTTATCTGGGATATTTGAGGTGAGAACATTTGAGCAACAAACTTCTGGTTATTTTGGTTGTTGCTATTTTCAAGAAATGAGTCAAAACCAAGAAGGGCATATATGTGTTAGCTTCTCTCTATTTTAATAGTATTGGAACAACTTTTGAAGTTTTATTCAAAATTTACATGGTGAAAAATTGAAAGAATAAAATATACAAGATATGAAAATTGATGTGTTTGCATAACCATAGAATCAAACACATAATTTCACAAATTAAAATACATTCTGAAATATCAGATAAAATGTATTATTTATGTAAATATTCTCCCCAAATATAAACATATAGAAAAATTTTGAGAAAGGTTTATTAAAAAAATTTATAGTTTCAGGATTATTAAGTATTCACAATTCGTACAATGTAAAACATACTTCACAGATTAATGCATGAACAGGAAACTAGACATTAAATAAATGATATTTATTATTCTTGGTATTGCAATTACCATCAAACGACTCATACTGAGGGTGAAGACTGTCTTTTTTATTTTTAATAAATTAGTTTCTAGTAGTCTCTGTAAAGTGTTTGCTTTGAAAAAAATGGAAAACTCAAGTTAAATTCTCAACATTCATATAAAACAAATGTTCAGCCACACTTGTCTATAACTTCAGCACTTGAGCATGTAGAAAAGCAAATCAAAATGTATCTCTAATGAGCTTTTCTAGACAATGGAAAATTCTGAGTTTAGCAGAATCTCTGTCTCCAAACATAAAAAAGAGGAATGATAGAGAAGCAAGTACCATCAATCCCCGGGAGTTTTCAAACCTACATATGGTTGACTTTGCCATCTTGCACAGACATCACACACACACACACACACACACACACACACACACATGCACGCACACGCACACGCACATACACATACACATACACACACAATTACAACACACATTGAGTTTTATAGATTTTAAATTAGGGAAGAAAATAAAAGTGTCCCAGATATGTTTTTTTTTTTTAATTCGCATTGTCTTTGATTTGAGACAGTTAATTTTCTTGAAACCATTCCTGGCCTGCATCTTACTAAAGTCCACATTAAAGTAAGCCAGAGTCCACTTGAACTCTTGGAGATTCTCTGCTCTTCAAATCCCAAATGTTGTGTTTAGAGACAGAACTAGCATACTCTACCAAATTTCAAATCCTTAATCATGTTTATAAATTTGTCTTTTTACTAGTACGTCCTATCCTATTATACCCAATCACTTATGAAGGACCTCTTATTTACGGCTTGAAGATTCTTTTTGCAGTGTTCTTCTACTTGTTCAATAATCAGGAGATGTGTAAGATTTATTGTCATACTTAGTAAAAATCATCACCATGGTTGTTTTCAGTTTTGAAACTTCTTTCCATGTACCTACAAGTATTATACTAATGTTTTTCAATTGAAATGCTATACTTACAACATTATCAATTTCCATAAAATTCTGTGGAGGCAAAGGTGAATTGCAGTACTAGTATATCCTACATTTTTCCATTGTTTGTAAAAGAAAATCATTTTGCTACTCATTTGAACTTACAATGATTTAAAATAAATCTAGAGATGTATAGAAACTTCAGTTGACAAACAGTTTTATTGTTTCAACCCATTTTTGTATATTAAGTAGTAACTGTAAATATTTCATAAAGAAATTTGCAATTTTTACTAAATTCTACTGGACAATTTATATAAATCCATGAACATAAAAATACTTTATATTCAAGTGTTGTTCACTTCATGTAAAAAATGCATAGGAAACTTTGCAACACAACACTGAATCTCTGAGACAGACCACTCTAGTCTTTGGGTGGACAGGAGTAGGTATATGTTATTGTTTCAGACAATGCTTAATCTGAATTTACAACAGTTATAAAGATATGGAATAGCCAAACATTCCTTATGTCAATAAAGGATGAGATTTTCTCTGGTTGCAGTAAACTAGAGGAAGATTGTCTGATTATACCAGGACAACTGTAGGCTAGGTACACTTGTGCTGAAATAGAGTGAAGAGAAAATCAGAGGTAAGGGATACTTCCAGTTTTCTTCAATATTTATCTCACCTAACAGCTGGCTCCATATGTGAAACAATTTGAAGAAGGCTGGGTAACTAACAGAAACAGCTAAAGCAGCCCAACCCCGTACTTCTACTTTCCTCATGGTTTTTGCAATGGTCTGTATCACTGTGCGAGGCCAGCTTTTACCTTGTTGACAGTAATACATTCCAAAATCATCTGGGTCCACACTGTTGATTCTGAGAGTGAAATCAGTCCCTGATCCACTGCCACTGAACCTGGAGGGGATCCCAGAGATGGTCTGTGAAGCATACTTGATGAGAAGTCTAGGAGACCCTTGTGTTTTTTGCTGATACCAGTGTAGGTAGTTGTCAATACTCTGGCTTGCCTTGCAGGAGAGACTGACACTGTCTCCTGGAGCCACAGACAGGGTGGCTGGAGACTGAGTCATTACAATGTCACCTCTGGATGCTGAAAAATTAGAAAAAAAATTAGCAGGACACAGCATTGAATATGAAAGACACTTCTAACCTACTTAGAAAAATAAAAGCCTTTCATTGTGTCAATTTCTTTAAACAGGAAGTCAAATCCCATGTGGTGCTGGCTACTGAATAAAAGAAGAAAATTTCATATTTAAATAATAGTTCTACTTTATTGCCACATCCAAGCAGTCATACCTGAAATCCAGAAAAGCAAAAGTCCAAGAAACTTAGATGTAGACACCATCTTTGAACTTTCCTAGAATTTCTGTGGATCACAACATAGCCCTAATAGAGGCCTTCTTATAACACTCTAAGAGGCAGGAGCATTGAAAGGAAGAAGTACTTATGTAAATCATACTGACTTCATAAGTTTTGTAACAAGACTTTGCCAGAAGAGCAGGCTCCTAGTGCCTTCTTAGAATATTTATCCCCTAGCTGATTGCCTGATGAGATGTTGAGATTTAAAGGAGATTTGACTTCTACTTACATAGTTACACAATTAGCATAGTCTAAGAAGTCCCTGGGATATCTTTAGCAGTTTAAAATGAAGATTATCTCAAATATGGTCTTATTCCAGGCTTACAGTGTTTTCCTTGATTTGTTTTACAGTATGGGGTGAAGCATCTAAAAGCACCTGAACATTCAAAGAAGCATAATAACATGTAAACCTAATGTGATACCACACTACTGAAATTTCATTAAAAGAAGTTAGAAATTTTAGATGTCTTATGAAGACATCTTTCTCCAGAGGGGTAAGTGAAATCCTTATAAACATTTACAATCTGCCATAATAAAGAATAATTTCAGAGTTTGAGATATCAAAATATTTTAGCACTACTCCAATAAATACCATATAATACACCTTGGTTGTCTTTCCAACAACAGTGATTAACAATGTCACAGAAATATATCTAGAACGTTCAAACAATTTTTTCCATAGTACATATTTTTCATTCCACTTAAAAGACCAAAATTGTGAGACAGTCTAGATAAGGAGAGAAATTTCCATCAGTTCCATGTAAAGAAACACGTGTTCTAGTCACTTGGGTGATATAATCAATTTAAAACACATATATTATATGAAAACTATGTCTGAGCTTTTGAAAAGCCTCAAAAACTGCAACATGGACTCACTAGACTCTTGGGAAATGAGAATAGGAGTAAGGAAGTGTCCCAGTTCACTTCATGTGGGAATGCAATAACTATGAAATCCCTGTGAAGTTTTCTAAAACAGCTACAGATATCACTACTATATTACTTAGTTATACCATTCATGGGGATATACCTAAAGGATTCTATAGTCTACAACAGACATAACAGCTCATACATGAATTTTGTAGCTCAAGCCATAATCTTTAGGACAAGGAATCAATTTCAATGTACACCACAAGATAAATGGGTAACTGAAATCCAGCACATTAGTTCAGTGGAATCTATTTAGGTATGAAAACTCATGAAATTATGAAAACTTTGGAAAATATATGGTACTGGAAAATTTATAATGACTAAAACATTCTATTCCCTCATATATACCTATCACATTTCTCCTACAAATGTTAATTGTGACTTCAAATTTCCATTTTTCTGTTTGATGTGGATTCTCCATGGATGTAAGAAGCTAGAATAGGACTCCCACATTGGGAGGCTTTTGGAGGGATTACAGTATAACACATGCCACAGTGCAGTACATATTAAATACCTTGAGAAGAAAGCTTTGCGCATGACTGGGATGAGAGGTTGAGGAAGGGGATAGTTAAATATTTTAAGATTATTCTAGTTATCCCAAAAGGAGAAAATTATCAAACTAATACATCACACTTTATGAGCAAATTTAGGATGAGTCGTTGGAGATAATGGAGACTGGCTTCATGCTGGCAGTCAATACAAGAAGCAGATATGTGCAATTACTGTATATTAATTTTTAGGAAATGAAACTATAATGAGAAGCAGCTTGAATAGAATATTAAAGTGTGTACAGCACTTGCAATCATTAAAACAAAAACACACATGTGTAGATTAATGTATCACGGACAATAATTCCTCCTTTCTGTTTCCTTTCCTTCTTTCTTTTCTTCCATCTTTCCTTCCTGCCTTTCTGTTTATTGTCTGTCTTTATTTTTATCTATTTTGTTATTTTTTTGCTTCATCCCTTTCTTTCTGCCTTTTGTATTTTATTGAAAATTCATTTTTTCTCACATAATATGTTCTGATTATGGGGTCTCTTCCTTCTATTCCTCTTAGGTCCTCATTATGACTCCTTTCCTCCGAATTCAACTGCTTTCTTTCTATAACTGAAAAAAAATCATGCTTCTATGCAATAATTAGTAATAATAATGAAGTGAGTAGTGTAATAATAATATTAAAGTTAAAAATAATGAAATAATACATAGACTAACACATAACTGTTTTGCCTGGACTTATAGCAGGACAACTGGGGATTGGGACATCACAATGTCACCCACTGAGACTAAGAGCACACATGAAAAATTATTAGAGAAAAGAGAAAATACATTATCTTTTTAAATGTTCAGATATAAACAGGAAAAATTCTCCAGAAATCAGTATTGCCATATATTTAATGAAAAGTAGGTATTTTTGTACCATAATTTGCTCTTTTGCTTTATCCAATAACATTACCTAAAATCCAGATGAGTACTACAGTGATAGGTGATAAGGACAGCATCTTCCTATTTTATTTCCCCTTCTGTATGCTAAAGCATGCCACAGCACAGGGAAGGACATTCTGAGAGGCAGCAACACCAGATGAAAGGAGTATCTGTGCAAATAATGATGGCCTCACGTTGTTAAGTCCTGAGGCTGTCACATTGCCCTTCTCTGCCTATATTATGGCTCCCTCTCCTGGCCACTTGATGCAGTGATTTTTAGTTGACAGACATCTGTGCATGCTTCCTCACATATAGGATTGAGCAGTGAGTACAATATATTTCAGGTTTTTGCATAATTAGAGTCATCAGGAAAGAACAGCAACTCAGATCCTTTGTCTTGGTTCACAGTAGTGTTGCTTAAATCAGCATTTCACACTCTATGCCTGAATTGATTGATATTTTATCATGTGAACATTTTATAAACACACTATATAACAGTAGAGGTCTCAGTAAAGTTATTGAAAAAGAGATGCTAAGATTTGAGGTCTTAATAAGACATTTTCCCCAAGATTTTGAATATAAACTTTAAGAAGATCATGAGTATGAACATAGAAGTCTCAATATCAAAATCTTACATGACCCATTATAAATAAACGACTTTCATACCGTATGTATTCTTTTGTGATTGGGCTACCTCACTCAGGATGTTATTTTCTATTTCAATCCATTCGCCTAAGATTTTCATGAATTCATTGTTTTAAATAGCTGAGTAGTGCTCGATTATGTAAATGTACCATTTTCTGTATCAATTTCTCTGATGTAGGACATCTGGACACCTGTTCCAGTTTTTGGCAATTGTTAATAAAGCTGCTTTCAACATAGTGGAGCATATATCCTTGTTATATTTTGGAGCATATTTTGGGCATATGCCCAGGAGTGGTATATCTGAGTCCTCAGGTAATACTATGTCCAATATTCTGAGGAACACCAGACTGATTTACAGGTGGTTGTACAGCTTGCAATCCTACCAACAATGGAGAAGTGTTCCTCTTTCTCCACATCAAAGCCAGCATCTGCTATCACCTGAGTTTTTGACTTTAGTCATTCTGACTGGTGTGAGGTAGAGTCTCAGGGTTGTTTCCTTTTGCATTTCCCTGATGACTAAAGGTGTTGAACATTTCTTCAGTTGCTTTTTGATCATTCAAGTTCCTCAGTTGAGAATTCTTTGTTTAGCTCTGTACTACTTTTTAAAAGGGCTATTTTATTATCTGGACAAAAAATTCTTGAGTTTTTTGTATCTATGGTATATTACCCCTCTATTGGATGTAGGATTGGAAAACATCTTTTTCCAATCTGTGGTTTGGTGATTTATTCTATTGACAGTGACATTTGTCTTACAGAAGCTTTGCAATTTTATGAAGTTCCATTTGTCAATTCTTGATCTTAGTGTATAAGCCATTGGTGTTCTGTTCAGGAAATTTTTTCCTGTGCCCACATGTTTAAGGCAATTCTCCACTTTCTCTTCGAATAGTTTCAGTGTATCTGGTTTTATGTGGAGGTCCTTGATCTACTTGGACTTGAGCCTTGCACAAGGAGATAAGAATAGGTAAATTGGCATTCTTCTACATGCTGACCACCAGTTGAACTAGCACCATTTGTTTAAAATTCTGGTTTTTTTTCATTGGATGATTTTAGCTCCTTTGTCAAAGATCAAGTGACCATCGGTGTGTGGGTTCATTACTGGGTCTTCAATTCTATTCCATTGATCACCCTGCCTGTCTCTGTACCAGTATCATGCATTTTTATGACTATTGCTCTGTAGTACTTTTATCATGAAGGCATATTGCATTTCTTTCAAATCTTTTTCAGCATCTAATGAGATGATCAGGTGTTTTTTTTTTCATTGAGTTTGTTTATATAGTAAATTATGTTAATATATTTAGGAATATTGAACCAACCTTGCATCCCTAGTAGGAAGCCTACTTGATTGTGGTGAATGATGGTTGAGATGTGTTCTTTGTTTCAGTTTGCAAGAATTTTACTGAGTATTTTTCCATTGATATTCATAAGCAAAATTGGTTCAAAATTTGGTTGAAGTTTGGGGTTTTGTTTGTTTGGGTTTTTTGTTTGTTTTAGTTTGTTTTATTCTTGTTCCTTGTGTGGCTTACATATCAGAGTAAATGTGGCTTCATATTATGAGTTATTAATTGTTCCTCCTGTTTCTATTTTACATAATAGTTGGTATTAACTTGTTTTTAAATTCTGGTAGAAATCTGCACTAAAGCCATCTGCAGCTCAGATTTTTTTGTTTTTGTTTTGTTTTGTTTTGTTTTTGTGTTGGGCAGACAGTTTTATTGACTTCTTCTCTTTCCTTAAGAGATATGGATCTGATTCGATAGTTTACTTGCTCTTCTTGTTTTAACTTGGAACATGGTATCTGTCTACAAAATCATCCCTTTATTCTAGACTTTCCAGTTTTGAGTATAGGCTTTTGTAGTAGTATCAGATGATTTTGTTTTTAATTTCCTATTTTTCTGTTTTTATCTCTCCCTTTTCTTTTATAATTTTCTTAATTTGGGTAATGTCTTTGGGCCTTTTAATTAGTTTGGCTAGGGGTTTGTATATCTTGTTGATTTTCACAAAAAAAATATTTTGGTTTTGTTGATTCTTTTCATCATTCTCTTTGTTTCTATTAGGTTGAGTTTTACCACATGTT